CCCCAAAACCCCAAAACCCCAAAACCCCAAAACCCCACAAAATAATAAATGAATTGAATTTTTCTTATTAAATAATTATTTAACTATTCTTTCCGACCTTAGCTGCTATATCCAGTTTCCTGCTCATTGAGAGTAGATCTACAAACTCAGGGGTCCTCGTGCTCTTATAAATTATAGGCTGTTGCAGCTTCCTTGTCGTTCTTGAGTAATCAGTCGCATCAAGTTTCCTTAATGGGTTATGCTCAATCTCTATCTTTCTTGGAATAGCTGGCTTAAAGACAGGGGAAACCGTGGGAAACTTTTCATGCATAACTTTATTATTCCTTTCAAATACACTTGTTATTTGTTTCTTTATATTTGTTTTATTGTTCAAAGGATAAACAGCTTTTGAGTTATTATCTCTGTAAGTCACACTTCCCACCTTATCGAAATTGTTATGGTTGTTTAGCTCTAGTTTTGATACATTATTCTGAAATTTGGCAGGATTTGGATTACTTGGCGAGATTATATTTTGATTTACATTACTAAAAGACCTTCTTTCTTCGTTGGAGTTCTCCAAAGTGTTATATCTCCTAGACTCCGAGAGATCCAAGTTAGACTCTTTGTTAACAATCTTTCTCTTTTGAATATCTAGTACAGGATAGCTAGGAACAGAATATTTAGCTTTGCCAAAAGTTCCAGAACCAGAAGCTTTGTTTAGCTTATTCATTTTAACAACTGTTTTGTTTGTTGGTCCATGCCTTGCCATTTCCCTCACAGCATATGAATCATTGTCATGCTCACTCAATTTAGTCAGAACTGACTTGGATGCCATTCTCTCTTGGTATTTCTTATTAAGTTGTCGTGGATCTGTGCTGACAAGGTTTAAGTAATTCTGAAGTTTTCTCTTAGAGTGAGCAAGTCTAGCTTCTCTAGACTTATCCTTAACTCCAGTATAGCCATAATTCCTGTCTGTCTTATAATCCATAGGTTGAGTGATATCTCCTTGATTCTCTCTAAAATAATAAGTCATCCTTGGCTTCCACTTGTTCGGATTATCATTAAGATTGTCAAGGGGAGGAATTTTATGATCTTTAGGACTAATTTCATTAAAGATTCTGAACTTTGTGTTATTATTAATAATCTTATTTGGGTTATCCTCGTGGCCATCCCTATAACCTTTCTTGACTAATTGAGCCTTCTCGGGGTCAAAAATAGTTGGCTTTTTGTATTTCTGCGGTGTTGGGAATTCCTCCTTGTCTTTCTGCTTTAAACTCTCTGTAATTTTAATAGCTTTCCCCATTGATTGGTTTCTCTCTCTATGAAAATTAGCTTCCAAGTTAGAATAGCTCTTCAGCTTGAGCTTATTATCAGAAGGATTATGTATCCGTCTCTGAGAGTTCATAAATCTTCTATATGGTGAAGTCACATCCGCATTGTTGGCTCTATTGCTCATTTTCAATATTTTTATATAAAATTGGGGTTTTGGGGTTTTGGGGTTTTGGGG